GACAAGGAAAGGCTCAGAGAATTCAGCACCACCAAACCAGCTCTACAACAAATGCTAAAGGAACTTCTTTAAGTGGAAAACACAAAAGACAAAAAGGACCTACAAAAACAATTAAGAAAATGGTAATAGGAACATACATATCGATAATTACCTTAAACGTGAATGGATTAAGTGCTCCAACCAAAAGGCACAGGCTCACTGAATGGATACAAAAACAAGACCCATATATATGCTATCTACAAGAGACCCACTTCAGACCTAGGGACACATACAGACTGAAAGTGAGGGAATGGAAAAAGATATTCCAAGCAAATGGAAATCGAAAGAAAGCTGGAGTAGCAATACTCATATCAGATAAAATAGACTTTAAAATAAAGAATGTTACAAGAGACAAGGAAGGGGCTTCCCTGGTGGCGCAGTGGTTGAGTCCGCCTGCCGATGCAGGGGACACAGGTTCGTGCCCTGGTCCGGGAAGATCCCACATGCCACGGAGCAGCTGGGCCCATGAGCCATGGCCGCTGAGCCTGTGCGTCTGGAGCCTGGCTCCGCAATGGGAGAGGCCACAACAGTGACAGGCCCGCGTACCACAAAAAAAAAAAAGAGACAAGGAAGGACACTACATGATGATCAAGGGACCAATCCAAGAAGAAGACATTACAATTATAAATATATACGCACCCAAAGAGGAGCACCTCAATACATAAGGCAAATGCTAACAGCTATAAAAGAGGAAATCGAGAGTAACACAATAAAAGTGTGGTACTTTAATAACACCTCACTTACACCAATGGACACATCATCCAGACAGAAAATTAATAAGGAAACACAAGCTTTAAATTACACAATAGACCAGATAGATTTAATTGATATTTATAGGACATTCCATCCAAAAACTGCAAATTACACTTCCTTCTCAAATGCACACAGAACATTCTCCAGGATAGATCACATCTTGGGTCACAAATCAAGCCTCAGTAAATTTAAGAAAATAGAAATCATATCAAGCATCTTTTCCAACCACAATGCTATGAGATTAGAAACCAATTACAGGGGAAAAAACATAAAAAATACAAACACATGGAGGCTAACTAATACACTACTTAATAACCAAGAGATCACTGAAGAAATCAAAGAGGAAATGAAAAAATACCTAGAAACATGACAGTAAAAACACAATGACTCAAAACCTATGGGATGCAGGAAAAGCAGTTCTAAGAGGGAAGTGTATAGCAATATAAGCCTACCTCAAGAAGCAAGAAAAATCTCAAATAAACAATTTAACCTTACACCTAAAGGAACTAGAGAAAGAAAAACAAACAAAACCCAAAGTTAGTAGAAGGAAAGAAATCATAAAGATCAGAGCAGAAATAAATGAAATAGAAACAAAGAAAACAATAGCAAAGATCAATAAAATTAAAATCTGGTTCACTGAGAAGATAAACAAAATTGATAAACTTTTAGCCAGACTCATCAAGAAAAAGAGGGAGAGGACTCAATCAATAAAATTAGACATGAAAAAGGAGAGGTTACAACGGACACTGCAGAAATACAAAGCAGCCTAAGAGACTACTACAAGCAACTCTATGCCAATAAAATGGACAACCTGGAAGAAATGGACAAATTCTTAGAAAGGTATAACCTTCCAAGACTGAACCAGGAAGAAATACAAAATATGAACAGACCAATCACAAGTAATAAAATTGAAACTGTGATTTAAAATCTTCCAACAAAGAAAACTCCAGGACCAGATGGCTTCACAGGTGAATTCTATCAAACATTTAGAGAAGAGCTAACCCTTATCCTTCTCAAACTCTTCCAAAAAATTGCAGAGGAAGGAACACTCCCAAACTCATTCTATGAGGCCACCATCACCCTGATACCAAAATCAGACAATGATACTACAAAAAAAGAAAATTACAGACTAATATCACTGATGAATATAGATGCAAAAATCCTCAACAAAATACTAGCAAACAGAATCCAACAACACATTAAAAGACTCATACACCATGATCAAGTGGGATTTATCCCAGGGGTGCAAGGATTCTTCAGTATATGCAAAGCAATCAATGTGATACACTATATTAACAAATTGAAGAATAAAAACCATATGATCATCTCAATAGATGCAGAAAAAGCTTTTGACAAAATTCAACACCGATTTATGATAAAAACTCTCCAGAAAGTGGGCATAGAGGGAACCTACCTCAACATAATAAAGGCCATATAGGACAAACCCACAGCAAACATCATTTTCAATGGTGTAAAACTGAAAGCATTTCCTCTAAGATCAGGAACAAGACAAGGCTGTCCACTCTTGCCACTAATATTCAAAATAGTTTTGGAAGTCCTAGCCACGGCAATCAGAGAAGAAAAAGAAATAAAAGGAATACAAATTGGAAAAGAAGAAGTAAAACTGTCACCGTTTGCAGATGACATGATACTATACATAGAGAATCCTAAAGATGCCACCAGAAAACTACTAGAGCTAATCAATGAATCTGGTAAAGTTGCAGGATACAAAATTGATGCACAGAAATCTCTTGCATTCCTATACACTAACAACGAAACATCAGAAAGATCAGAAAAAGAAATTAAGAGAACAATCGCATTCACCACTGCAACAAAAGCATAAAATACCTAGGAAGGTAAAAGACCTATATTCAGAAAACTATAAGACACTGATGAAAGAAATCAAAGATGACACAAACAGATGGAGAGATATACCACGTTCTTGGATTGGAAGAATCAATATTGTGAAAATGACTATACCACCCAAAGTAATCTACAGATTCAATGCAATCCTTATCAAATTACCAGTGATATTTTTTACAGAACTAGAACAAAAATCTTAAAATGTGTATAGAGACACAAACGACCCCAAATAGCCAAAGCAGTCTTGAGGGAAAAAACAGAGATGGAGGAATCAGACTCCCCAACTTCAGACTATAGTACAAAGCTATAGTAATCAAGACAATATGGTACTGGCACAAAAACAGAAACATAGATCAATGGAACAGGATAGAAAGCCCAGAGGTAAACCCACGCACCTATGGTCAACTAATCCATGACAAAGGAGGCAAGGATATAAAATGGAGAAAAGACAGTCTCTTCAATAAGTGGTGCTGGGAGAACTGGACAGCTACATGTAAAAGAATGAAATAGAACACTCCCTAACACCATACACAAAAATAAATTCAATATGGATTAGAGACCTAAATGTAAGGCTGGACACTATAAAACTCTCAGAGGAAAACACAGGAAGAACACTCTTTGACATAAATCACAGCAAGAGCTTTTTTGATCCACCTCCTAGAGTAATGGAAATAAAAACAAAAATAAACAAATGGGACCTAATGAAACTTAAAAGCTTTTGCACAGCAAACGAAACTATAAAAAAGACAAAAAGACAACTCTCAGAATGGGAGGAAATATTTGCAAATGAATCAATGGAGAAAGGATTAATCTCCAAAATATATAAACAGCTCATGCAGCTCAATATTAAAAAAAAAACAACAACCCAATCCAAAAATGGGCAGAAGACCTAAATAGACATTTCTCCAAAGAAGACATACAGATGGCCAAGAAGCACATGAAAAGCTGCTCAACTTCACTAATTATTAGAGAAATGCAAATCAAAACTACAGTAAGGTATTACCTCACACTGGTTAGAATGGGCATCATCAGAAAATCTAAAAACAACAAATGCTGGAGAGGGTGTGGAGAAAAGGGAACCCTCTTGCATTGCTGGTGGGAATGTAAATTGATACAGCCACTATGGAGAACAGTATGGAGGTTCCTTAAAAGACTAAAAACAGAATTACCATATGATCCAGCAATTCCAGTACTGGCCATATACCCAGAGAAAAGCAGAATTCAAAAAGACACATGCACCCCAATGTTCACTGCAGCACTATTTACAATAGCCAGGTCATGGAAGCAACCTAAATGCCCATCGACAGACGAATGGATAAAGAAGATGTAGTACACATATACAATGGAATATTACTCAGCCATAAAAAGGACTGAAATTGGGTCATTTGTAGAGACGTGGATGGATCTAGAGACTGTCATACAGAGTGAAGTAAGTCAGAAAGAGAAAAACAAATATCGTATATTAATGCATATATGTGGAACCTAGAAAAATGGTACAGATGAACCGGTTTCAGGGCAGAAATAGAGACACAGATGTAGAGAACAAACGTATGTACAACAAGGGGGGAAGTGGTGGGGGAGGGTGGTGGTGTGATGAATTGAGAGATTGGGATTGACATATATACAGTAATATGTATAAAATGGATGACTAATAAGAACTGCTGTATAAAAAAACTTTTCTTAATTAAATAAAATTTTTTAAAAAACGAGTGCTTCGGGCTTCCCTCGTGGCGCAGTGGTTGGGAGTCCACCTGCCGATGCAGGGGACATGGGCTCGTGCCCCGGTCCAGGAAGATCCCATATGCCGCGGAGCGGCTGGGCCTGTGAGCCTTGGCCAATGAACCTGCGCGTCCGGAGCCTGTGCTTCGCAGCAGGAGAGGCCACAACAGTGAGAGGCCCGCGTACCGCAAAAACAAAACAAAAAAACCCGAGTGCTTCTCTCTTTAATATCCACCAATTTTTTTTGTTCTAAAAACATGTAAGGAAATCCATTCTGAAGTTTTTGCTTTTGGTTAAAAATTTAAGTTTATGACTATGCTATTATTATAGAGTTAATATACCTATCTCATTATCTCATTAATTAAAGCTCAAACCACTAGATTATAAGAAAATAATAATAATATACTATATTTTATATAATATATAAATGATACGTTATTGTTATTAATATATTATTATATATTTATAATATTATATAATATATTATTAATATGTTATTATATATTAATATTATATAATAATATAATAATTATAATAATAATCTAGCTCAAACTACTAGATTATAAGAAAATAACCTGTAATGCTCAAAGGTTTACACAGACACCAACAAAAATAAAACCACTTACCATAAGTGATCAATAGAAGGACAAAAGGAATATTTTTAAATAGGTTCCTTATTGATTTCCCATAGGAATACTCTCCAGGGGGACTGTCTTGGAGAACTGCTTGAGCCTGGCTTGGTGGATACTGAGGTTTTTCTTTGAATGCTGGAAACATACATGAAAAGATAATTCAATATACAAGTCTTCTTTAGTGAGCAGACTAAATTCAGTTTAAGTTTAAAGAGGTAGTAAAAGTCTTTTATAGGAAGGCTTTTCATTTTCACTAATTTCTAAGTGAAGAATAGTTTGATATTATCATCTCAACCCTCTGAGATGGACTAAAACTCAGAGATTTGGCCAATTCACAGAACTGAACTGTAAAACCATCAATACTATGTCACAACTTTGCCCAGTGATTATTCTGTTTTTAGTTAAGCAAGATTAATTTTTATTATATTAAGTATTCAACAATTGTATTTCTAAATTTGGTTCAATCTGTAATTAGAGGTAATATCAGATATGAGCAAGCCAGTATCTTATTGAACTTTTAGAGGACTGTCTTGAGTTAGTACCTATTTTCTTCTGAAATTTGATATAAAGTTTATCATCTGGTGCAATTACCCCTCTAGAACTGAAAAGGTCCATGTGGATTCATGGGAGCAGAGCTAGGTCCTGCTTGCCGACTCACTTCAGCTGCATATGGAAAATCTAGGGGTAGAGCTGGGAGACATAAAAGTGTGATACATAGTTTCTGATACTGTAAGTTCTAGCACTGCCCATTACTATGTAGTTAGAGAAAGATCGCACAGCCTTCTCAGCCAGATATTTAGAGACTGCCCTTCTGCTGGGCAGGGAAGGATCTACTCATTTCCTACAACAGATGGCTAGGCAGAGATTTCTGTAGGGTATGGCTAGCCAGGAGTCAAGACTTTCTGATAGAAGAGCTGACCTGCTAAGAGTGGTACATCAGAAATTAAAATCTAGTTTTAGTACTGACTCAAAATTTTAAACTCAAATACATACAGGAAAAATGCTGTATTTCACTGAATCTAAAATGGTCTGATGCTGGCCCTTAATGATCTTGGCAGGCATCAACAGACGGTTTTCACATAACCATACCTCAATTGACACCAGTGTTACATGCCATTGATTTTTTTTATTGTGATAAGAACATTTAACTTGAAATCTACCCTCTTAACAAACTTTTAAGTGTACAATAAGTATTGTTAACTATAGGCATAATGTTATACAGCATATCTCCAGAACTTAGTCATCTTAGATGCCATTGATTGATTACTAAAGGCACCTCAATTTCAGAGACGTCATTTAAAAAATGTACACTTTAGAATCAATAAAGTAGGGTAAATTCAAAAGCCAAAAAGAAGGTACATGGATTCAGAAGAAAGTAATATTTTCTAAAATATTAGAATTTCCTCCTCCTCTTTCTCTCTCTCTCTTTTTAAATAGTGGCTATTTCTTTCTTCCAACAAAGAAGCCTGCTTTGTAGTTTGAAAGTGGTCTAGATCTGATGGACCTGACTGTCAACTGTAATCATGTAGAAGTTTTTTAAAAATACAGATTTGGGGATTCTAGAGAAGGCTCAGTGAATCAGAACCTCCAGAACAGAACCTTAGAACTGTATTACACAAAACTCAACACTCAGCCAGGTTTGAAAATCACTGCAAAAGAAAGAAATGATTCTTAAAACTTGCACACAATATTGTAATTCTCTTAATTCTCCTGTTTGCTGCTAAAAATAAAAAATTACAGCTCTTTGCTCACCAACACATGGATTAATTATGATATAAATAAAACAACAAACTAGACTTCTATTTTTATAGGTCTTACAACTAATTGAAGCAGAGACATAACTCATATTTACTTTTTAATATCCTTACATTGGAGGACTGGTAGACATAAAACGTTTTAAGTGGTTGCAATCCCTCCCCTTCCTTTCACCCTATCTGCTCCTTGCACTGTTGAGGACACCTGTTGTCCTCTCCTGAAAGTCTCTTTGCATCCTAGTTAAGATAGGAGATACTTCTTTTTATTAATATTGGTAAAACAGAACTCACATGTTGTAAAACAAAGTTTCAGAATGTAAAAACTATGCTTACAACGTAGTCATGGGTATTGAATGAGTCCTAAGTCTCTTACTTAGATTTTTATTTACTACAATAAAATAAGTCTAAATGGCTCAGATCTGAACTCAAATGCAAAATAAAAACAAGTTCTGGTAGTTTTTAATTCCATTAGACTTGTTTTCTGAATACAAGTGTTATGTCTTAGTTTCAGGAAGTTAACTGCTCTCTTGGACAAAATCAAGATTTTATCTACCAGCTACACAATATAGTAAAGTCAGGCTTAAGTCTATAAAGAAAAAAAAAAGAGGAACAAAAAAACCATTGGTCTATGACCCTGTTTACGCCTCATTCCTCCTTTCAAAGGATGAAATATGGCTTTTTCTTTCTCCTTTGAAACTGAAAAATAGACTTCTAACTTCTCTTCTCCCCACCAAAAAGTTGTGCAAATAAAATAACTAATACAATAATTAATTAGTAAAAGTTATTCTCCACCCTTAGCAATAGGAATGGAAAGTAGCCAAAGGATTTTGGGCACCACATTCAAACTTTTTCTCCCATGATGAATAAATAACAAATCTATTGTGTTTAGGACCACTTCTATTTTTTGAAATCAGGTTATAATATTATCTTTTGATTTCATTATTTGTGCCTTTGTGATTCAAGCGGACATTACACATATTAATTTATTATAAGACAAACACAGGTTTGAATCCTGGCTCTGCCTCATCTCACTATATGACTCGAAATCAATTCCTGCTTCTCAGCTATTGCTTTCTCATTCATAAAATGGAGATAATAACAACAAGCTGGTATGAGGACTATATGATATGTGTAAAAGAATTTTGTAATTATTGAGTACTACACAAAATACATTGTCTTTTTGAGGAATATTTATTTTTAAAAATCAGAGACTTTTCAGGGAATTCCCTGGCAGTCCAGTGGTTAGGACTTGGCTTCCACTGCAGGGGGTACAGGTTGGATCCCTGGTCGGGGAACTAAGATTCCACATGCTGTGCAGTGCAGCCAAACATAAATAAATAAATAAATAAATATTTAAAAATAAATCAGAGACTTTTCTCAGGGCTTGAAATTCTTATACACTAAGTAAAACGTACTTCTATTAACAATTTATAATAGGAGCCAATATATAAATATCCTGAATATAAGAATCAAAAGTAAAATTATGCATGCATGTTTTATACTCATGTATTTAAATACCTTAATATTAAATATTTTGACTGCCATTACTTTTGGTTTCTGTCATCCACTCATTTTAGTGAATCAGGATGATAAGGATTTTAACTGACACACTTAAGTGATATAGTTTACTGCTCTGCATAAGAAGAACAGCTTTCAAATACAACAGCATTACCACTTATACAAGAGGAATTGAAACAAATAATCAGACTAAGTAAAAATTAAAATGATATATTTGTATATGTAACATTTTATTAATGGAGTTAGATTGCCCAGGCTCAAATTTCATCTTTAGCATTTATATACTAACTGTGACCATGAGTCAGTTAAATTTACTTAAATTCTGTGCCCAGTTTCCTCATTTATAAAATGGGAATGATAATAATAGTACCGCCCTTATAGGGCTTTGAGGATTAAATGAAATATAGCATGCAGTTGTGCTTTTAAACATGTTTGGTACATATCAATCAAATGTTAGAGACTTTAATAGTATTCTCCCAATAAGAATGGGGTATTAGTGTGAAATTCAGTGGAAGGTTGGGCTTAATTCCTAGAAATGTTAGATGAATTACACTTACGGAGGGTAATGGGATTACATGACATGAACCCTCCTCAAGTTAGTATTTTAGGAAGACTTCTGAATACCAGTTTGGTATATGTCACATTGCTGAAAAGCATCAGCACAAAACTAAATTATTTTATAAGATTTGATTGGGCTTCCAAAGTATGTATGGGTAGAATTTAGAAGGAAGTAGCACTGTCTCTTAGTAATTAAGGAACTTTAAGAAAGTTAGGATTTTTAAAATAATCCATATTTTCCTTAATAGCAAATATTTAGGTATAAGGAAAACAGGTAAATTTTTAATTTAAACGTCACAATTTTCAACCTAGACTTTCATATCACAACTGTATATTATCTTGCTTTTATATTATGCTTAGTATCATAAGACTAAGTTTATAGGTCACCAAGCAAAACTTGACAATGAGCTTTTTTTTTTCCTATTCTATTTCCATTCCATTCACCTCCCATTTCCATTTCCACTGTCTACTCATAAGCCATGAGTACATAATTATGTACATGAATAGCTCTCTTTTAATTTCTTAAATAATACAGGGTGATACGCCAATGGTCATGCCTATGTTTTTTGTCCCACAAATAAAAATCTTATATTTGTAGCATCTCATATATATATATATATATATATATATACATATATGTTTAAATACATGTGTCATATATATAATTTTGTATCTATAGATATCTTATATACAGTCTATTACTCTCACTTCTTCCAAAGAGACAAGCAATTGAAGACGATAAAAAAAGGAAAACCAGAATTTATGCAAAGATACATAGCAATCAAAGGAAAGAGAATTTTATATATATATATATATATTTTTTTTTTTTTTTTTTTGCCGTACGCGGGCCTCTCACTGTTGTGGCCTCTCCCGTTGCGGAGCACAGGCTCCGGACGCTCAGGCTCAGCGGCCATGGCTCACGGGCCCAACTGCTCCACGGCATGTGGGATCTTCCCGGACCAGGGCACGAACCCGTGTCCCCTGCATCGGCAGGTGGACTCTCAACCACTGTGCCACCAGGGAAGCCCGAGAATTTTATATTTTAATAATCCCTATTGCTAATGGAAGATCCATTTATGCAAAATGTATATAAACTATATCTCATACTTCATCTAGCACGTCAAATATGGCTACCAGAAAAGTAGATATAGGAATTTGTTTTTTGAAAATATAGATTTCTTTTAAAACCTTGTTAAACTGCCAAAATAGTACAAGGGATAATTTATCCTTTTTCAGTAGTCAGCACACAGCAAATATGCCACTCCCTAACAGAAACATAAAAACCAATCATAGGTAGATTGGACATGTCAGAATATTTTAAATGCTACCATGAGAATATTTTGTTCATTATCTTAAGGGAAATTAAAAATATGTGGGCTGAGTTTCCTATCCCTGGGTCCAGCAGTTCATCTCTAAAGGCATCTGTGGTGGTGCAGTGGTTAAGAATCCGCCTGCCAATGCAGGGGACACCGGTTCGAGCCCTGGTCCGGGAAGATCCCACATGCCACCAAGCAACTAAGCCCGTGTGCCACAACTACTAAGCCTGCGCTCTAGAGTCCACGAGCCACAACTAGTGAGCCCACGTGCCACAACTACTGAAGCCCGCACGCCTAGAGCCTGTGCTCCACAACAAGAGAAGCCACCACAATGAGAAGCCTGCGTACCACAACAAAGAGTAGTCCCCGCTTGCCACAACTAGAGAAAGCCCGCGTGCAGCAACAAAGACACAAATCAGCCAAAAATAAAATAAAATAATTAAATAAATAAAATTTTAAAAAATAAAGGCATCTCTATCAAAACACTCCATAGTCTTTAATATACATTTTCTTTGAAAACTGAGGATTTTATATCTGGTGATCATAAAAAAAAATTGCATTTTTCATTACTGTTATAACCATGGTAAAAATCAACATATAAAATTTAAAACTCCAGCTATAATGAAATTTAATTATAAATTTTAATGATTGAAAGATGGCCTTTCAACTTTAAAGTTCCTTTCTTCTTCAAATCAATTTAAGATATACTGAGTGCCCAAAAGGCAATATTATAGTTATGTTAGCAGCTCTATTACTTAAATAAGCCGCACCTATTCTTTTCCCTGAAATCAAAATTGTTTCCCATTAAAAATAACTTTAAAAAGCAGACCTTCCCAAACCTTCTTCCAAACTGATGATGGCTGCTTGCAGCTGATTTTGACTGACTGCTTCAAGAGACAGGCCCGGACGAGAGGACTCGGGGACGAGCGGTGGCAGCAGTGCTTTGCTGGAGTGGCCTAACAAGCAGATAGTTGCCACAGTTTGAAATTCTGCTGAACAGCTTGCTGCTGCCCAGGATCATTCACTGGTCAACATTTTCAGATCCAGTTAACTGTTAAATTGGGGATCCCTGGAAGGATTTATCATTTAAAGGAAGGTTGTAGCCTAGTCGCATCATTTCAAAGCACGACAAGAACTTGTTCCTGGCGAGGTTAGTGTAAGATGCAGACACGTAGACGGAGAGGCAAAGAGGAGGCAGGTAATATGTTTGAAACCAACAGTTATCAGGAAAGAAAAGTTAGTAGGGAGACAAATGAGATGAATTAGTCTTCAAACCCTTTACAATATTAAAACGGATGTAGCGGACCATAACATATCCTTAGGCGGTAGCATTCATTACCTCAACAAGAAAGTGAACAGCAAGAATGAAACAAGCAAATAGCACTTGAGATATTACCAGTACAAATTTTCAGAGTTGGTTATTTTTATTTTCATATGTTTGTCATGCACTTATCTATTTAAGCTTTAGGGAAAATAATTCACTTACCAATTACCGTTAAAATAAATAAAAGTGTGGCGACAGCTGAAGTTCCATAAAACATGGTACTGATATTACAAGCCAGCAGTTGTGTGTTATTCTGTGTGTTCGGCACCAAAACTGGTGGCAGCAAAAAGCCAACTGCAGTTCCAAGCTGTAAAATAAACAGTCCTGTTAATTCTTTCTTCTTATTATAAGAGAAAAAAAAGTAATCAACATAAAGACAACCACTATTGCAAGGTCCTTTCGTAAGCTCTAAAGCACCATGTTCTAATGTCTTTTTACCATACCATTAAAGGAAAATTGTTGTCAAATGTCTTCCCTAGTTCATAAACATTTACTAAGCTCCAACCATCCAAATGATGCTGCTATAAAGTTGTGTAAGACACACTCCTTACCCTTTGGCTACTTACAACAAAAAAGGAGAATAAGGGCTTCCCTGGTGGCGCAGTGGTTGAGAGTCCGCCTGCCGATGCAGGGGATACAGGTTCGTGCCCCGGTCCGGGAGGATCCCACATGCCGCGGAGCGGCTGGGCCCGTGAGCCATGGCCGCTGAGCCTACGCATCCGGAGCCTGTGCTCCGCAGCGGGAGAGGCCACAGCGGTGAGAGGCCCGCGTACCGCCAAAAAAAAAAAAAAAAAAAAAAAAAGGAGAACAAAAATACACACATATACACAAAAAAATGCTGAGAAAAGACAACATAGAAAATGGGAGAAAATATTTGCAAATCATATGTTTGATAAAGATCTACCATCCAGAATATATGGAGAACTCTTACAACTCTACAACAAAAAGACAAACATCCCAATTCAAAAATGGGCAAAAGACCTGAATAGACATTGCTCCAAAGAAGATGTATATATGTTCAACAAGTACATGAAAAAATGCTCAATATCATTAGTTATTGGGGAAATGCAAATCAAAACCATACCCGCTAGAATGGCTATAATTTAAAAAAAAACAGAAAGTAACAAATGTTGTCATGATGTGGAGAAATTGGAACCCTTGTACACTGCTAATAAGACTGTAAAACAGTGCAGTCACCATGGGAAACAATTTGGCAGTTCCTTAAAAAGTTAAACATAGAATTACTGTATGACCTAGCAATTCCTCTCTTGGGTATATACCCCCAAACTGAAAACATGTATTGAATATTGTGCATGAATATCCGTAGCAGCCCTATTTGCAATAGCCAAAAGGTGGAAAAAAGCAAATTGTCTATCAATGAATGAATGGATAAACAAAATGTGGTATATCCATTCAATGAAATATTATTTAGAAAGAATGAAATACTGATAGATGCAGTAACATGGATGACCTTTGAAAACTTGCTAAATGAAAGAAGCCAGACACAAAAGGTCACATAGTGTATGATTCTAATTATATGAAATATCTAGACTAGGGAAATCCATAGCGAGAAAACAAATTAGTGGTTGCCAGGGGCTAGAGAGGGGGGAATGAGGAGTGACTGCTTAGTGGGAGCTGGGTCTTCTTCGAGGGTAGATGAAAATGTTTGGGAACCAGATATAGGTGATGGCTGCAAAACATCGTGAAGGTACTAAATGCCACTGAGCTGTACACTTTAAAATGATTAATTTTTTTATGTGAATTTTACCTCAGGAAAAAAAAAATTAGGCCGACTATGATCATCACAACAAGAGAAATAAAATCAAAGTATTAAAGGAGGATCAGTGGAGGGAGATTTCAGATTCTTTGGGGGACGGAGGTGAGACAGAAGGGCCCAAGATAGGTTTCAAAGAGGAGGCTGAGGCAGAGAAGTAACATTTACCAAATATTGCATTTGCTCCCTATAAAAAGCTGGATAGAGACAGTTAAACAGGTAATTACAAGTGTAGTAAGAGCAGTACTGTGATGAGAGGTAGAGAGTGCCATGACTGGGAAGATCATGTAATTGATCATTCAAGCAAGAACACTAGTCAGAGTGAAAGGGACCCCATGAGCAGTTGTACTGGACAACAGATGTACACCTGGACTATTCTAGGCCAGTTGGAGCATATGGTCACCTTAGCTAAGAGAGTACTTTAGAGGAGCACCTTGTATAGACTTGGGGTTGAGGAAAAATTTCTAAAGGAACAAAGATCTGAATAAGAAATTAGAGTTAGCCAAGTGAAATAGAAATGTTCCCAGTTAAGTAAGTCAGAAAGAGAAAAATATCGTATATTAACGCATATATGTAGAACCTAGAAAAATGGTACAGATGAACCGGTTTGCAGGGCAGAAATTGAGACACAGATGTAGAGAACAAATGTATGGACACCAAGGGGGGAAAGCGGGGGTGGGGGTGGTGGGATGAATTGGGCAATTGGGATTGATATGTATACACTGATGTGTATAAAATTGATGACTAATAAGAACCTGCTGTATAAAAAATAAAATAAAATTCAAAAAATATATATATGTTCCCAGTCAACGGAACATCATGTACAAAGGAAGGAGAAAGCATGACCTTGTGAGAAACTGTAAGTAGTGCACAAGTCCCCTCAGAGCAGAGCAAGTCTGTATATGAGGAATGGAGGCTGTGCAGAGAGGTGATGCTGAGGAATTGGCAGGAGGCAGAACTGGAAGGTCTCACTTGCACTTAAGAGAGTTTGAATTTTTTCCTAAGGGCAATGGAAGACACTGCAGAGGGCAAGGGAGTGTCCAGGACAGATGTGCACATTAGAAAGACCACAATGGATGAATGTGGAGAATAGAGGGAAGAGAACAAGAGCTGCAGATAGGAAAATCAGTTAGCAAGCTCTAGGTGAGAGCCACAGGTGGCCAAGGCTAAGATGGTGGCAGTGGAAATGAAGAGTAATGAGCTGGGAGACAAGGTAAATTTTGATTGGTGGGGTCATATGGGATAGTCAAGTGGAAATATCCAGCTGACCAGTATCTACATAAGTCTGAAGCTCATTAATTTATTGAATAAATTTTTATGGAGAATCTACAACGTGCCAGGCACTCTAATGAATGTTGTACATTTAGACGATGTGCCTATTTCATGAAACTTACAACCTAATGGTGGGGATCGGAGAAGAGTAATAATTAACAATTAATATATAAACATAAATATATCAGACAGTGATAAGCACTACATAGAGGATTAAAGTACAATGATGTAATAAGACAGTGACTGGGCAACTCTAAATGGGATCCTGAAGAAATGCCACTGAATGATATTTAAAATGAATTTAAACTGAGAGCTGAATGATAATAAGAATATAACAATGTGATCTTAGGAGGAAGAACATTCCAGACAGAATGTTTTTGCAAAGGCCCTTATGAAAAATGCAAGCTTAGTGTCGTTTAAGGAAGCAAAAACATATTAGTAAGGTTTTGTAATCCAGAGTAAGAAATTTAGATTTTATTTTAATTACTATGGGAAATCATTGGAGAGTTCAAAGCAGAGCTATGACATGATCTGATCTATGTTTTAAAAGGTTCTCTCAGGAATTCCCTGGCAGTCCAGTGGTTAGGACTTGGTGCTTTCACTGCTGGGGCTTGGGTTCAATCCCTGGCTGGGGAACTAAGATCCTGCAAGCCGTGCGGCATGGCTAAAAAATTAAAAAAACAATTTTTTTTAGAAGGTTCTCTCAGGTTAGAGACTTGGCACAGTAGATGGGTAGTTAAAAGATAGGATTCAGGAATCAGACAGACCTAAGTGTGAATTCTGCTGCTAATTAGCTGTGTGACTTTTGGAAAATAATTTTATCCCTTCAAGTCTCAGCTTCTGTATATATAAAATGAGGAGACTAATAGTTCCTACCTTACATAATGAAATTAAACGAAACAATGTGTGTAAAGTACTTAGCATGGTGCCAGGTTTAGTGAATGCTCAATAATGTTGAATATTACTATGAATGATCACTCCATAATCTAGGCATACTTGGGGGTCGTGAGCAAGTGCAGAGCTACTAGAGTCAAGGAAGGATTCGAACACTTAGGGAGAATGTAGGAGGAAGGCCCAGAGGTGTGCCAAGTGTTAGAGGGAAATCTGCCTATGAGAAAACATTTCCATTTATTATCCATGAAATAGATAATCCATAGATATGGAGTTGATAATATTTCCATCATGCTCAATGAAGTATTAATCTTGCATATAATTTCGTAAATGAAAAAATAGTTGAAGGAAACAGTTCCTATCCAAACATGCAGAAGCAACCAACTAAAATATCAGTCACAAATTATTTTGGATATACAACTATATTTCAAGCTATCCCTTCTTCTGTACTTTTAAAGGAAATAAATATAAAGCAATAAGCCCACATGTAGAGTTACTCTTTACATGGAATTTAAATAGATCTTACTGTGATCTTGAAACAAGTGTTAGACCAGAAGTAAAAGAGTAACATTCTTTTGTTACATAGCTACATGATATATGTATAGAGAGAAGTAACATTTTTGTTATACAGGTCTTTTTTTTTTTTTAAGCAATTTCTTTTAAAAGTCTTTATTGAATTTGTTACAATATTACTTCTGTTTTATGTTTTGCTTTTTTTGGCCCCAAGGCATGTGGGATCTTAGCTCCCTGACCAGGGATCGAACCTGCACCCCCTGCATTGGAAGGGGAAGTCTTAACCATGGGACCGGCAGGAAAGTCCCTTGTTATACAGGTTTTTAACTTGATTCTCCTCGAGCTGAATGAACACTCGATATAATTTACATAAAGTATCATAGGACTCCATATGCAAATTTTAAATTACAGTAAAAGGACCATTCTGCAATTAAAACACACACACACAAACACACACACACAAATTCTACCTAATAATGCTACTGGAATGCTAATGAATTTGAACCTATGGTGTTGGCAAGTCTAGGAAACAGTTTAATGGAGACTTGGCAAAATAAGCCACGCTTTTGCAATGGATTCTATGATCTATGATTTGTCTTGCATTTTCTTACCGTTAAAATTTGGTAATAGGACTCAGTAATGCTGTGAGGTCTTTATCACTATATTTATTTAGCGATCATTTACAAATGTCTGTTATGTACCAGGCACTCTGCTGACTGCTAATATATAAAATTAAACAGAAGCTGTTTACATGGACCACTCAAAATAAGAACAAACTTCCCAGAACACAGCACCTTCCTTTTGCAAAGAATACACTGATGACAAAAATAATACCTACTTTAGACTCATTCATTATCGCACTGACAAGTTTTTTATGATGTTAGGCCTAGATATGGGCCTGTACAGTTAATTACTTTACAGGTAATTCTCAAAGATGACCAGGTAGTCATTTTAAACTGGTTTTGAAAGGTCTGTCTTCACAAATAAATCAAAACCCCTCTTTAATCCAAGACTGCTTCCTATTTTATGACTGCTCACCTCCTCTCCTTCATTTATAGAATGCCTCCTAAGGATCCATATACCTAGCTCACATGGCCTATGACGTTTTATCTGGTCCTTCAGGATCCGATTTTCATCTATTACCCTAGTCCTTACCTGATTACCTAGCACGGCGGTGGCGCAAGCTGTGGACACCTCCTTGGGCCCAAACCACACTGAAGCGATGTGGGAGGGCAAGCCGAGGATGAACACCTGGGCCACAGAGCACAGGCACTGGCCCAACATGGTGACCCAGAAGAGATGCTGCTGCACGCTGCCGCACTTGATCCAGGCGCCCAGGCAGTTGAGGCCGGAACCCAGCAGGGCGGTGAGCCGCAGGCCTCTGGTATCCAGCAGCCAGGTGGCCGGGAAGATGAGGGGCACGTAGGCCAGCATGTATACCATGGATAGCCAGTCAATGTGCAGCGAGGAGACGTTGTAGAAGCCCTCGAAAACGTTGCTGATGATGCTATATTGGATCCACTGAAACGCGTTCACCATCGAGTACAGGCTGAAGATCAGTAGCACCAAAAAGCGCCGCGCGGAGAGCGCAGTCCGGGGCACCAGGGTGCCCTCGACCGCCGGCGTCTGCTCGCCGGGGTCCTTGGGCAGCAACCGGGCCTGGGTCTCCTCCTCCGGGGCCAGCGGAGTCTTCGGCCTGTCCAGAGCTCCCGAGGCGGCCTTGGGGCTGTCCCGAGAGACCCCATTCAGGGCCAAGCAGCCGGCTTTGGGCCCGTTCTGCGTCTCCGCACTCACCTTTCCAGCGGGCGCGTCCCCCGGGACCGGGAGGTATCCGTTCGCGGGCGGGTGCCCGTTCGCCACCGTTGTCCCCTCCTCATCGTCGGGCAGTGCCATGTCCCTGGGCTCCCCCGCCCTCCTCCCAGCCCTGCACCCCCAGCCCAAGACCCGAGGCCCTCCCTGCACCCCAAGCCCTACCCCTCGGCCCACTGCTCCTGCGACCCTCTCCCCGGCCGAGTGAGCCTCGGTCTGAGCCGGGAGCTGCAACCCGCGCTGCCTGAGTCCGCAGGCAAAGTCCTCGTTCCCGGGCGCTGCCCGGCAGGCAGTCACTCAGGGCCAGGCCGGGCCGGGAGAAAGCAGCGTCACTGCGCGGTGGAGGCCCGCTGGCCAATCAGCGGCACCCTCGCCCGTCGGAGCCAATCGGGGAGCTTCCGGAGGGGCGGGGCGGGAGTGAGTGTGCGGGGCGGGAGTGAGTGTGCGGGGCGGTAGAGAAGGAAGGCCAAGCTGGAGGTCTGCGCTAGGTGTTCTCCTTCTGGATGGATGCTGTGGCCAGAAGTCCTCCGACCCGGGCGTGGGCGGGCGGGAGGCGAGCTTTGGATTGGGCAACTCGGGACTGGGAACGAGGGGCTAGGAGAAACGGGGGAGACAAAGAGGCAGACGTGAGTCTCTCCACCTAGAGGGGCTCCTCTAGGGACAGGTCTAACACTGGCAGAGGACAAACTTGGCCTCTCGGCCCAATGCAGCTGCCAACATCGGACGCTGCCTTTAAAGCAGACAGGAGCACGTTTCATAAATTCGTGCTGTCTCGGCAGAGGGAGAGCACCAGAAAGCATTTTGATGCAAATAAAGAGATTTCTTCAGAAATCTGGCCTTGTGAAGTTGGAATCTCTGGGATGTGCTGTGCCTGAGCAGGCCCTGTTGCTCAACATTCTCCCTTGCACCAACACTTGCAGTTAGTATTTACTGGACACACATTCAGTGGCTTCCAAGCACCATACTTGCTTTGAAAGGTATGTGCCCCACACTGTCATGGACTCTGGGGAATAAAAAATAAAAATGAGACATATTGCCTACTCTCAAGAGCACACGTAGCCTTGTAAGTGTTCCTGGACTACAGGAAAAGTCAGTCCTGCTACTTCTTGGGAAACTAAGTTTGAAGGAAAAATAAAAAGACTCCAAGTATTCATTATTAAAGTGGAATTGAAACTAGGGGTATCTCACAATGGATTTAATCTTAAAAGGTAGGGCTTCCCTGGTGGCGCAGTGGTTAAGAATCCGCCTGCCAATGTAGGGAACAGAGGTTCGAGCCCTGGTCCAGGAAAATCCCACATGCCGCAAGGCAAGTAAGCCCGTGAGCCACAAGTACTGAGCCTGCGCTCTGGAGGCGGGGCCCCGCAACTACTGAAGCCCATGCGCCTACAGCCGGTACGCCACAGGAAGAGAAGCCACTGTAATGAGATGCCCGTGCACCTCGACGAAGAGTAGCGCCCACTCTCCACAACTAGAGAAAGCCTGCTCGCAACAATGAAGACCCAATGCAGCCAAAAATAAATAAATGTTTATTTTTTTTAAAAAGTGTTGCTTCCCTAGAACTCTAAAACCCAGTACACTTTCTTTTTATTGCCTCTTAACATCATTATTTTGGTAGCATATAAAAATATATCAGATATGTCTCAGTGCAGGTGAAATACTACATAATACTAAACCTGAAGAAATATGTGCATTTTATGTCTTCCTTGGTCATCCTATATAAATTGCACATTCCACTCCTAATCCCCTTCATTTTTCTTCTTAATGCTTAGCACTCTAAAATGTCATTTTGTTGTTGTTGGTTATTTCCTCCTTCCCCACTAAAACGTCAGTTCTGTGAGGGCAGGGCTGAAAGTTGTTTTGCTTTGCTGCTGTTGCTGTATACTGAGAACCTGAAACAGTACTTAGCAGTAGGTGTTCAATAAATATTTACTGAATGACTGCAACTAACAAGCATTGGATATTTTAAATAATTACTTATTTTTAAAGTGAATCCATTTCTTTTTTTAAAAAATTGTAAAGTTCCTCTGCAAATATGATTTTCTAAACACTGATTTAGATATTATTTTAGATGACTGAGTGATGTCCTCTGAATGAACAAAAAAATAACTAAATGTGGAATCCAAAGGACTTCATTCTTAGTTAAGATGTCTATTATATGGATTTCTGAAAAATGAACTAATTGCATTGCTTAATATTCAGTACAACTCACTATTCATTATTCTGAGGCTTTTTTTTTTAATACCTTCATGAACCATGAAACCTTCTACATAGCTCACACACACACAACAAAAACCTGTTCAGAAAGGGAATCAGGGACCTCCCTGATGGCGCAGTGGTTAAGAATCCACATGCCAGTGCAGGGGACACGGGTTCAAGTCCTGGTCCGGGAAGATCCCACATGCCACGGAGCAACTAAGCCCGTGCACCACAACTACTGAGCCCACACACCACAACTACTGAAGCCTGTGTGCCTAGAGCCCGTGCTCCACAACAAGAGAAGCCACTGCAATGAGAAGCCCGTGCACCTCGGTGAAGAGTAGCCCTCACTCGCCGCAGCTAGAGAAAGCCCGAGCGCAACAACGAAGACCTAACACAGCCAAAAATAAATAAATGATAAAATAAATAAATTTTTTAAAAAAAGTAATCCAGTGGATAGAATTTTATTTTTGATTCTTTTTTTTTTTTGAAGCATTATTGACCTACAACACATGTTAGTTCCAGGTGTACAACATAGTGATTTGATATTTCTACACATCTCAAAATGATCATCACCAATGAGTAGAATTTTAAACGGACCTTTCTTTACTTGCCCCAGTAGTACCTCAAATCCACATGTTCACAGTAAACATTCAGATATCTGCAAACTTCTCACCCCCTTCCTGAAACCAAAAAGTGGCAAATTATATTAGGCTTCATTTCCCCATTATCCAGTGAAGATTGGAGATTGTCTTCTACCAGACTGGAAAGATAACTTTCCTTTCTGCACAGAGGCAGCTTCCTGAATGTACTCCTGCAGGGAGGCCATTCTTTCTGATTCTTTAGGCTCCATCTGTTTAGAGATAATTTGTCTTCTCTATGTCCTTAGCAAGAATGATTGGGGTTGGGAGTTGGGAGTCCTCTGAGTGTCCCGGATACCAGTTAGCATCTAACTTCCCTCCATGGTGGACTTCCCTGGTGGTCCAGTGGTTAAGACTCTGTGCTTCCACTGCAGGGGGCACAGGTTCGATCCCTGGTGGGTGAACTAAGATCCCTGCATGCTGCTCGGCGCCACCAAAAAAAAAAAAAAAAAAAAAATTTCCCTCCATGCTTTTACCAGCTGGTGCCTATCTTATTCTTTTCCACCTTGTCATTTGTCTTCCCTGCACTTAACAAAGTTCTGTATCTGACACCATCATCATCTACATGGAGCATACCACCAAGAGGATCTAGAATAGTGGAGAAGAGTATCAGATCTAGAGCCAGGCTACCTGGAGTTGAATTCCAACTTCAGTACTCACTAGTTGTGAGAACTTGGGCAATTTACTTAGCTGTTCTGTAATAGTGCATGCCTCGTTAGATTGTTGTTGTGAGGATTAAGTGAGTAAATAATACCCCGCACATGGTTCAGGCACTCTTTTTTTTTTTTTTTTTTTTTTTTTTTGGTACGCGGGCCTCTCACTGTTGTGGCCTCTCCCATTGCGGAGCACAGGCTCCGGACGCGCAGGCTCAGTGGCCATGGCTCACGGGCCCAGCCGCTCCGCGGCATGTGGGATCTTCCCAGACCGGGGCACGAACCCGCGTCCCCTGCGTCGGCAGGCAGACTCTCAACCACTGCGCCACCAGGGAAGCCCGGTTTACACATTCTTAGTTACAGTTATTGAGATAGTCTACTATGGTGGTTAAGGATCCAGGCTCCAGAGCCAAATGACCTGGATTCAAATCCTAGCTCTTTGACTTACTAGTTGCATGACTTTGGACTAGTTACTCTGTGCCTCAGTTTCAACAGGGAAAATGAAGACAATATTCTTCATGAGATGGTTGTAAGAAATAAATGGCTAATAAATATAAAGTACTTAAATGGTTCCTTGATCCCTGATGTATAGTAATACTCAGTAAAATATTACCTATAGCCATTATTATCAACTCATATCTCCTCAAAGTCATATCACATTCTCATGTTATCTTAGATTTGATCCCATCTTGTCTATTTAAACCTGCTTGGATTGTCCTGGAGCTACTCCAAGCTCTTTTAGATGGAATTTATGGTGGTAAAGTCCCTCCCTGGAAGATGCTCTGAGGATGTCCCTAAAGGGCAGTACACAATGGCATATACTAATTACTCTTAGCCTCACAAGAGGGAGATTTCTTGTCATCGGAAGTGGCCAGGGTTTCCCTCGTGGCGCAGTGGTTGAGAGTCCGCCTGCCGATGCAGGGGACGCGGGTTCGTGCCCTGGTCCAGGAGGATCCCGCGTGCCATGGAGCGGCTGGGTCCATGGGCCGTGGCCTCTGGGCCTGCGCGTCCGGATTCTGTGCTCCGCAGCGGGAGAGGCCACGGCAGTGAGAGGCCCACGTACTGCAAAATAAATAAATAAATAAAAGGAAGTGGCCAACAGTTGAATGGACCACCACATGACATATCTAGACAAGAGTTAGATGAAACATCTGTGTTGGACTAGGTATGTTGTGGATAAGATTCCCAAACTCCATGGAAAAGTGAGCTATGTTAGATCTCAGATTTTTTCTGACTTTAAGTTTCTATGATTTATGAAAAGTAAGATATTTCCAATGAAAGGATTTGACAAAATTTGTATGCCTCTTTCAACAAAGTTCCATAAAGTAACAAATGGAGTACAGAAAGGGGAAAGTTCAGCAGTATCTCTTTGTATTATCATTTTAATCTCTTAACCTTGCCTCCTCTCTCTTGAGGCTTCAGTGGTAGATACTTATGTTCCAGTTTAGGCATGAATCATACTTTATATCATGGATATATAACATAACACGAACCTTAATCTCTGCCAGAGAGGACAGTACTGAGAACATCACTTGGCTGGGAGTCAAGATGAGTTTCAGCTACATTATGGATGTGAAATGCCAAGTCAGACCAATTTGAATGAGTAATAGTTCAGTGATATGAGATCTGAATGACACCCAGGAGCCAAGGTCCAAGATACTATTAACAGTGATGTGGCTGTTCCTGAGCAAAGGTTTCCTGAAGTCTAAGAGGGTAAGATACAAACCAGAACAAGGTCCCTAGATGTAAAATCCATGTTTCATGGAGAGAGGTAAATTTTAGCAACATTGTTTTCAGTTGGCACCACTAT